TGGGGCATTAGGACCCACATGGACCACAGGGTGAGCGCCCCCTGCTGGCCCCACTAACACCTCTTCCAGCAGCAACCTTAGTTTTTCCCAGGAGGTCTCCCATCCAGGTAAAACCAGGCTTTTTAGGTTTAGAGTTCTGAACTTGTCAAATGCGGGTTCACAACTCTAAATTTATTAGAGCACATTATTCTAGAGTAGAAGAGGTGAAAATTATGACCATGGTAAACCTGAAAGACAAAATTTCCATCACGTAAGTTAAAATAAGTAAGCATTGACACGTCCCAGGAGTCTCCAAGAGTCTGGTTTTAGAGTGCATGTTATAAATCCTCAAAGTGCTTTCTTTTTTTAGAAAGAACAAGGTTTATTCTTATCCAGAAAAAAAAGGTAAACGAAAACAGGCTGAAATTACATTATTAACAATGCACATGAAAAATATTCTCCTGAAATTGCTTTACATAACTTCAATAACCAAAGCAACAATAAGTAATAATAAAATGTCAGCGAGTAGCTGGTCAGTTTTCAACCATATTTATGTTGTGCGTGATTACAAACAGTATCATCACAATTTCAATCAATTTAAGCATTTACCATCTTCTAGGATGAATGCTGTCAGGGGGTATTTGTTATGTCCTGTTACGGTATGTATTGTATTTATTAAATGTGACAATCAGACTAGATCAGACAATCAGCCAATCAGCCAGCAGCCATATCACTCTGCAACTCAAAACTGGCAACCCACTGAAGTTAAGCAGGTGTGAGCCTGGTCAGTACCTGGATGGGAGACCTCCTGGGAAAAACTAAGCTAAGGTTGCTGCTGGAAGAGGTGTTAGTGGGGCCAGCAAGGGGTGCTCACCCTGCGGTCCATGTGGGTCCTAATGCCCCAGTATAGTGATGGGGACACTATACTGTAAACAGGCACCATCCTTCGGATGAGACGTAAAACCGAGGTCCTGACTCTCCGTGGTCATTAAAAATCCCAGGGTGTTTCTCGAAAAGAGTAGGGGTGTTACCCCGGTGTCTTGGCCAAATTTCCCATTGGTCCTTACCAATCATGGCCTCCTAGTAATCCCCCTCTATGAATTGGCTTCATTACTCTGCTCTCCTCCCCACTGATAACTGATGTGTGGTGAGCGTTCTGGCGCACTATGGCTGCCGTCGCATCATTCAGGTGGAGGCTGCATATTGGTGGTGGTGGAGGGGAGTCCCCATTACCTGTAAAGCGCTTTGAGTTGAGTGTCCAAAAAAGCACTATATAAGTGTAAACAATTATTATTATTATTAGACTAGGAAAAAGGTGAGTCGTTGATTAAATCGAGTCCTGTTGGGGCTTCAGTGGCTGGGTTTCTTGGAGGCTGAATGAGGGCGCTATGTCTCACCCTTGCAGAAGGAGGACCGTCGGGTGCTGAGGGAGCTGAGGGTCTGGCTGGAGCAGTTCGAGAGAGACCTCGTCCGAGGCCAGGGGGTGGAGGGGAGCCTGCAGGACAAATACAAGGTGATGAGAGGGCAGGCAGTTTATATTGCCTTCATGAAATGCTATCCCCAGACAAGGATAGTTTTTTTTTGCTGGCACTCCACACAAAAATGTTTAAAACCTCAATAATGCAGTACTGACCTTGTTTACCAAATTACTTGGCATCAAATCAATGGCATATGCATTACTGTAATGCTGAGAATGGGTACAAAGCAGCTCACACATTTGTTGTTGCCATCCATCTTCAAACACACAGCGTTAGTCTGAAGGCAGCACATATGCCCGATTGTTTGCAAATAGAGCTCGGATCTATTCATGCGCGACACACGTGCAGATGGTCAGTGTGGGAGCTGCTGCAGCGCGGGTGGGCGTCGCGCTGTTGTTGTTGTCCCTTGCTTTCAAGGTGTCTCTTCCAGGCCCGCAGCACTTTCTAGATCCCGAGAGCTGCATCTGTATTAAAACAGCGGCTGGATACGTCTTCCCGGGTGCCTCTTAATGTATGCAAAACAACGCTGAAACAGCTGCGAAATGTAATTGCGTTTGTTTACATTCTCACTGACATTTAACTTCTGTAGCCCAGAAACGTGGTTAGTTTAAGCTTTCAGATTTATATGAAAAAGCATTCACCTTAAAAAAAAAACAGCAATTGCAGTGATTTGCAATTCAACCAAATGGGGGTTGAATTATTTTGCATGGCGCCACACACAGATATTTCTTTCGTGAATTGTGCGCTTTGTGAAAAGCTGCGAGTCACTGCTTCCACATGCCCTGAACTGAGAGCGAGGACAGCAGGCATGTCTATGGCTTGTGGATGGGCTGACGATCCAGTTTGTTTTTTCGCATTGCCTTGCAGTCATTTAAGAGTTTCCGGGTGCAATACGAGATGAAGAAGAAGCAGGTGGAGGGGGCACTTCAGCCGCTGCAGAGAGATGGCAAGCTGTCGTCAGAGCAGGCTGTGGTGAAGCAGGCTTGGGAAAGACTGTCATCCAGGGTGAGAGGGGCTTCTCTGCCTCGCCATACTCTGACAAGACTGCCATATGTAGGAGAAAACACTGGATATGAGTTGCTCACACCAACACTGCGTATGTGTTCAAATGTAAAAATACAGTACATGTCAACGATTATAGGTTTGTGAAACAGATCTTTTCTAGTGCTGGACAACTGCGTTTATTTGCTTACTGTATTCACAAGCAGTCGTGATTGTGATTTCTAAACAGGTTATTTTTTTCCTTAATGCATTGCTATTTTATTATGGTATGTTTCACTGCTAAGGGCACAGGTCACTTAACTGACACTGGTCTATATTTAAATGTTTTTAGAAACAAATCCCTGAATGAAAGCGTGATGTGAGGATTAACATATCCCCTCTGGGGTCTTTGTTTAGTCATATGGTAATAAGACTATTGTAATGCTGTTGTTTTGAATTTGTATATACTGTACGAGTGTATATACTGGAGAAATTTATAATACAACTCAATCCCCCTCCCTCCCCCTCCTTTCACTATGGTCAATAATTAGAATATAAGTATATTTTCATTTGCCAATCTCTCACTGTCTAATGGGTTGTGGATGTATTTATGAACAACCCACGAGTCATGCAGATAAGCCTGTTTCTTTGTTTGATGCTAATATTGTTTGACAGGCTGCTTTCATAAAGAGAGCCCCCCTTGAGTCCTTGTCTGTTATCCTCAATATCTGTTTGCTAGAAATAGATAAATAAGATGTAGGAAAAAATAATTAAATCAGATTTATGAAAGTATTAATGAAATGGAAATGGAAAATATTTCCATCAAATGGAAATTTACCTTTGCTTTATTTTAGTCTTGGAAGGCAAATTTATTCTCGTTATATTCTTGACTCTTACTTCTGAGTAAAATTAAATCCTTAGGAAAACAAAACCCACAAACATTCCTGAAATATCTTTCACAACAATTTATGTTCTGACAGCCGAAAATACCCCTGCTGCATTGGGCTTGCATTGCAAGTTGCGTTAGCCGGGAGAGGTCTTACACACAGTCGTCTGCTCTTCGTCTGCAGTTCAGAATTTACCCCTCTCAGAACGGGAACAATGACTGTTTTGTTAGTCAATAAGCTGTGTGCTCTTCAGTCCTTCTTTTAAGTTCTGCTGGTTGTCTGTAAACTGGGAATGTATCCAAGCCAATCATGTGTTGAGAAAAGCTTTGAAGAGCTCTAGGTAGCACTGTATCACAAGCACATTGGCTCAGGTTTTTTTTGCAACTTAATTTTTATTATTTTTGCTTTCCATTTGCAAGCCACCCAACAGAAAAAAGCTACAAAGATTTCTAAAGCATTCTTGTGTACATATACTTATAGATATCTTAGATGAAATTCTCACGTATGTACATTTTCACTAGAAATACAAATGATATCATTGATCACCATTCATTTCAATGATATTACAAACAAACCTATTGAGAAAAACAAAAAAACATACAAGATAAACAGATGAGGTTGATAATATTGCTGTGATGTACCGGAGTCTTAATGTTCCATAATTACTTTCATACAGTATTTCTATTAACTTGGGGGAAGAACTGTTTTGATACCTATGGTTACTATTGCTATTCTCCTTCGAGATTTAAGTTATACTAATCCATCCCATGGTCCCTCTACCTTGTTTATAAGTGGCTTCTATTTTTTCAGAGAAATTGTTTGGCTCAGGTTTTTAAAAAGAAGCGCAACTTCAAGCTGTTGCTCAGATAGTCTGGAGCGTTAATGTTGCCTTTCAAAGTGCCGGAGAGGATTCACACGCCAGGATTCAATTCTGCCCTGTCTCTTCCAGCTGCTGGAGTGGCATGTTCATCTGGACAAGTCTCTGCCTGGCTCCCTGGGCGTGATCGGCGCTTGGCTGCACAGAGCAGAGGTAGCCCTGCGAGAGGACATCGCCATCCAGCAGGCCCACGAGGAAACAGCCAATGTGATCCATAGGAAACTGGAACAGCACAAGGTACAGTTCATACTGTACGCTTCTCAACACTTTCCATGAAACCAGATCAGCTCCTTGAAAATATTACTCCTTGCCTTAGTAATGGAATGAATAACAGAGCTTTATATACAATTTTACGACAACCTTGTTAACATTTACTGTTACAGTATATCAAGTGCTAGACCTTCTTTTTTGATTAAAACCCCAACAATGGAAACCTGAAAAAAAATTAACCTTTCCATTTCCCTGGTTTAGTTTTCTGTCATACAAAGAACAGTTGCTGTGTTTTTCATTAGAAATAACACAACATAGAAATTGTCTTTGAATATTGTCACTATTGCCACTAGAATGGATTGAGAAACATTCTGATCACATGCTAATCATGACAAGTTGATACTGATATGTAAAGTGGTTTACATGTATTTAGGGATGTTAAAAATTGATTTCAAGCACAAAATCGCTACAAATATATTACACATTTGACATTAGAAGTTTTCACCTGCGCTCATGTACTTATTGCCAGTCAGATGAATGCCAATGGCTACATAATACAAATGTGATAACATTAGCTGTGTCTGAAGAGATGCTTAGCTTCACCACATACCTTCTCAGAGGCAGCTCACCTGTCACTGGTCTCTTGTCTCCCTGTAAACAGGACATGCTGAACAGTCTAGAGGGACACAAGCTGACTTTCCAACAGATCCACCGAGATGGCTCTGTTAACGGAGTCCTCATCCCCATGGAGCAGCTTGAAGACATGGCAGAGAGGTTCGTCCTGCTTTGTTCATACTCCCGAGTTTACTCAGCACAAGTTTACTGATTATTACATCCGTCTTCCTCTTCTGTTGTCTCAGTCAAATCTTGTAAAATGTCTTGCATATACAGTACAAACTGAATACCTTGCATCGTATTTATTCTGAGGTTTAATGAAGAGGAAAAAAGAAAGAGACAAAACTGTTTTAGACAACACCTTATTTCTGAAAAGAAATTTTGCCTCACAAGTCAGTTTGTTTTTATTCTTCTTTTATTTTATTTACAGATTAAATTATGTGTCCACAACATCTCAAGCCCATCTAATCAAACTAGAATTCTGGGAAATGAAGTATCGCCTGCTGGCATTTTTAATGCTGGCAGAATCCAAGCTGAAGTCCTGGATCATCAAATATGGCAGAAAAGAATCAGTGGAGCTTCTTTTACAGAACTATGTTGTGAGTAGATGAAAAAATATCAGAATATTTTGCTCTAACCAGCTCTATGACCAGCAGCCATATCACCCTGCAACTCACAGCTGGCACCCTGTTGAAGCTCAGCAGGTGTGAGCCTGGTCAGTACCTGGATGGGAGACCTCCTGGGAAAGCTAAACATGCTGCTGGAAGTGGTGTTAGGGGGCGCTCACCCTGCAGTCTTTGTGGGTCCTAATGCCCCAGTATAGTGACAGGGACACTGTACTGTAAAAAGGTGCTGTCCTTTGGGTGAGGTCCTGACTCTCTGTGCTCATTTAAAAATTGCAGGGTGTTTCTGAAAAAAAGAGTAGGGGTGTTACGCCAGCATCCAGGCCAAATTTCCCATTGACCTTTACCAATCATGGCCTCCTAATAATCTTTGTCTCTGAATTGTCTTCATCACTCTGCTCTCTCACCACTGATAGCTGATGTGTGGTGAGTGTACTGGTGCACTATGGTTGCTATTGCATCATCCAGGTGGAGGCTGTACATTGGTGGTGGTGGAGGGGAGTCCCCATTAACTGCAAACTCATGCCAGGGCTAGTTATCCCAGAAGATAATGAAACTATTTTTTTCGTACTCTGTTCAAACTCTGTCCAGAATTGAACCCAGGTTTGCAGAGCTCCTAGGCAACAGTACTAACCACTGTGCCACCATGCTGCCCAAAACAAATAACCCTCACGAGGAAATCTTTCCATTTTCATGTAATAATGTCAAAGTCTCATGTTTTTTGCTTTCCATCTTCACCCACCGCAAAACTGAAACGGGTTGGTTACCTTGCCAAGAAATGCTAAGTCAGATTAAAAAAAAAATGATTTATGTGATAAAGGAAGCAAGCCCCTTTAACACTCTGATTTGAAGACATATGCACGAATCTTTTAGAGAGACCTAGATTCTGTTTGTGGCACCTGCTTTTGTTTCCAGTGTCAAGCATGGCTTTTTTTTTATCTTGGAGTTTATTTCATGTAGTGTCCACATGGCTGGTGTATTTAAAGCTATTACAAGTGAGACATACTGTAACCTTACACATTTCAAAGAGCCGATATGTATATTAAAAGCTTGCATTTGAGTAATGTGATTAATTGAAATGTGCTTCTAATGAAATATTATTTTTTTCTTTCCTGTAGTCATTTATTGAAGGACATAAGTTCTTTGAACAATATGAGATGACCTACCAAACTCTGAAACAGACAGCTGAATTATATGTAAAATCAGATGGTTCAGGTAAGAATTAACAGCAATGCAGTTGTATATTTTGCATGAGACGTTCTAGTTGGTTCTTTAGGTACATCAGCATGCGTAAGCTGCATAGAAAAAAAGTAAAGGTTCGTTCCATGCTGAAAAGAGAAGAAAAGAAACAATGTTTCAGCTGTGGAGCCTTCTTCAGGCCGAAGACCCCCGAAGATGGCTCTACAGCTGAAACATTGTGTACATTCTGCTTGTACTTATTTAACATACAGTATTTAAGTATGATGAAGCTGTTTATACAATTAATTATGAAAATAATGAAAACATCATACATTGTGAAAAAGGTTGTATTGCTAAAAGCTATTTCTAAAGATGCAAAAACTAATCTTGAGATGAATGAATACAATTAATATTATGAATTAATTATGAGTGTAATTAATACAAATGTATTGCATTATCTGCTGAAGTCTACCTTTCTGGATAATGATCACTTAAGATAGTGATGATATTGTATACCACAAAGATATGTATTTGACTTAAATACATCAAGATAAGTAGACCAAGGAAAGAGTCTCTTATGCCATTAAATACTGGTAATATTTCAATGAACATTTATAGACTAGATAGAGGGACATAGAACAAGGGCATCTCAATAATCCAGGAAATTATAGACTGGTTATCTTTGTGTTTAACAAAACAATTGTTATACACAAGCAAATATTTAACGAACAGTGTGGCACACAGAACATTAGTCAAGAAAGATTACAGTAAACCATAATGTGATCTAGGTATTCTGATCTCCACATCATAAATAATAATATGCTGTGGATATGTCATAGAGAAGGACAACAAGACTGCTATGACTTCTTCAATCTTTGGAAACTTGTCTGTGGGTGAGACTTGAATGAGAGTTGCAAAAGTTTAAAGGGAACAAATAATATGGACTATTATCTATAGCTCTTAACTAAATTCACTCAGGAGAATAACAAGGAAATGTTCATTACAGACATTAATTTTCCTAAATTTCATATGTTCGAATGATTAGCTCTGAAGTGCAGAATGGTCTATTCTCGTCAGAAATGTTTCTTGTGTTCCTGTGAAAATTACAGGTTTTAAATCTCTCCGACACTACTTAACTAAGGTAAAGAGATAAAATTACAGCATTTGTCTGAAAGGTTTTTATTCAGGTGCCAGTCAGGAGTTGGCATTCTTTCAGATAGGTAGTAAATGCAATTTTAAAGTAATTAGCTAAGGCTTTTTTGTGTTTGGACTTACATGCGAAAGATGTGAAATTGTACATTCTGAGAGGGTTATCCGTGTAATTAACTCCTTCTAACTATTCTTCAAAGTACTTATTAAACCCTTGGCAACAAAAATAATTACAGTGTTATTGCATCCATTTCAGTCACCCAGTAAGTGGGCTTTACACAGCATCCTTCTAACAGTTATTTTCTACATTGTTTTAAGTGCTGCCGAAGATGCTGATCTCTGTGTGTTATAATCTCAGTTTTAGGTGACTTAATTACAGTATACTGTATGTAGTTAATTTTTTTAAATTTATGAAATTCCAGTGTTAATTTCAAAGCAAATATTACCAGTTGTATCCGAAAGAACACCCACCACAGGATTTGGAGACTGGGCAGTTGTAATCTAAACAGTAACTGTTTTGCAGCCTTTTGAACTGTGGCAAACTGCACAGAGGGGTCTCTCATTTGTATTCAGGCCCACTGCAGTCTGAGCAGGCGTATGTCGTCACACATGTGAGCTCTCACTCTTTCTGCAGCTATGTGGAAATAACTTTCTGACCACGGTTGGAGGGCAGACCGGTGGTCTGAAACAATGAGAAGAACACAACTTTGTAGTTGCTACTGATTCTGCATTTGAATTTGCGACTTAAAATAAAACAGTTAAATGATTTTCTTGCCTGAGACGTACTGTTAACCTTGTGATTGAGATTAAGTGATCAAAGTTGCTCTTCAGTTTGGAATTAAAGCCATTCTAACTATTATACCAATAGACAGAAATCTTAAGAACAGATAACATAATGAAACAAAAATAACACCCGGTACTAATCTTATGGACAAGAAAGTTATGACTTGAAATGCACATGAGACCTTTTAATCTTGAGATTTCTAGTTCAAAGCTGGACTTCACAGGTCAGTTAGGGTGTTGTTACCCTCATGGTAACCATGATGGGTATTTAAAATAACTGGCAATTTCAACTTAAAAAAATAGAAGCTCCTCACCAGCATAACGCAAGTTAACTAACTGTTAGCTTCCTGTTCTAGGGTTTAGGATCAGTAGGAGAGGTAAGTGTAGCTGCATAATTAACACCTGGCTGCAAAATGGGGCCACACTTACTCACTGTGATTGATTGACACCTTCAGTCTGGCAGGTTTGGTTGCATATTCTTCACCTGTTCCTCCACGCTGTCTCCAAGTCTGATCCCACTCATATCCGATTAAAGAATCTGTATATTAAAACATGATAATTACAATAGAAAGTCACCAGATCAAATTTCTTTAAACTTGTGCATGAAAACCTTCATTTCTATTCTCCACGCATTGAACCAGAAATTTGCCCTTATTCCAAGATTTGAAATTCTAGAGCACTTAAATCATACCTTTCCTTAACTTTGTGTTACTTCATGAAATAATTCAATGATACTAATTTCAGTCTTTGTACTAGGGTGAACAGATATTGAACACCAACCATTTTTTATTGGGACTGACATTTTCATTGACTGCACACGTCTATTTGTTGTTCAGGATCACTATAAAAGTGGTAATACAAATTCAACTTCAGAAACATTTTCTGCACCAAAATTTAATTGCCTAATTTTAGACTTTTGCACTTCCCCTCTACTAACTAATGTTTCCTTAAAATGCCTGCACTTTTAATGTGGACAGTTTACTTTAAGTGGAAAAATAAGGAGAATGATTTATGGAGGCTGCTTTGCTGTTGACCTGGAAACTATTAAATGAACAAGAAGAAAGGATGTTGATGGTTTTTCTTGGCGTTACCGATGACATGTCCTTTTCTAGCTGAAGAAGGGGAAGGGGTGAGTAAGTTCTTGAGCGACACAACGGCCCAGTGGAGGAACTTGTCTGTAGAGGTGCGAAGTGTGCGGAGCATGCTGGAGGAGGTGATCTCCAACTGGGAGAAGTACAGCAGCACAGTGGCAGGCTTGCAGGCCTGGCTGGAGGATGCGGAGAAAGTGCTGAACCAGCCTGAAAATGCCAAACGGGTAGGTCTGCATTCGACCTGTTTATTCCATCTCTCGAAATAAGAGAAAACCAGTTTAGATTTAAGCCTGAGCAGAGAATTCGGCAAGCCTTAGGAGTCTGATTTTCTGAAGACAAGAAAAATAGAAATTGTGATTATGCTATTGTTAGTATTTGATGTAACTGATAGAAACACAAATCTAAACTGTTATATGAAATTTGGAGTGTAAATTACCTGTTTTACTCTGACGATGCTTTGTCAACAGGAGTTGTTTTCTTTGTGTAGTCTACTACACGAATTTTCATTTTAAAACTTTTTTACTATTTTTCCCATTCGTAAATAACCTTGGGAGCCATTATCCTATTAATGTTTTCTTCCCTCCAAAAAGAAGGAAAGTCAAAAGTCATTATGAGCAGCCAGCCCCTTTCTTGTCCCAAGATAGCCTTCTGTGTGGTAGTGAGTGTGTTTCATTCTCTCTAATTCCACATTATTCCTGCCCTTAGGAGTTCTTCAGGAACTTGCCTCACTGGATCCAGCAGCACACGGCCATGAACGATGCAGGCAACTTTCTCATCGAAACCTGCGATGAAACAGTCTCCCGGGACCTGAAACAGCAGCTGCTGCTGCTTAATGGAAGATGGAGAGAGCTATTTGTTAAAGTCAAACAAGTAAGTCCTCTGCAGACAACAAAATTATTTCAATCGCTGAATCCATCATGAAACAAGCTCAATAACAGAGTTTCAGCACTGGTCTCTTTCAAAGCATCTTGTAAAAAGATTTACAACAGACAAAAAAAAATCATACAGCTAAGATATAGAGTGGATTCACTAAAATAGCTCATGTTTCAGTAGTTAAATTAATAAGTTGGACAGTTGCAAGTATGGGAAGACAGCTAGTAAAAAAACTCCTCAATACATAATTGTAATAATGTATTGATGTAATAATGTTTTCTTCAAAATTAATTTTGGGGTCAAAATGAATTTGGGGGACATTTCTGTAACACACAACCTTGAAAGTTATGGTTTTAGAACCATTGCTAACGAAGCAGTGTAGTTAACTGTTATCCTTCTAATTGTTTCCTCACACTATGGCAGTATGCAAGAGCTGATGAAGTGGACAAATTGAGGAAAGAATACCAGGATGGAATGTCTGCTCTGAAATCATTTGTCGACACTGCGAATGAAAAAATGACGGCCCCTGTCCAAGTGTCATTTTTGAATGTGAGGACTTTTGTGCAAGATATTGAGGTAAGAAAGTGTAAGAACGGTTCCCAAGTAATGCCAGCTAAGTAAAAATCTCCATTGGAAGGTTGAATCCAGTTTTCCACAACTTATTGCTTAACACCCGGGCCCTGAATGGAATGGAATTGAGATTCCCCAAGCCAAAATGCACGCCAGATATAGGCATGCTTGAGATCAGTATTCTGACTGAGCTACTATGGGCTTTATGACTCTTTGGTTGAATGTGATGTGTTTGTTGGGCAGAGGCATGTCCAATCAATGAGCTCTCTGCTGTGAGCACTGTGTGAACAAGAATCACTGTCTCTGACCGTGTATGTTTCAGAGGAAAGCAGGCAAGATCCTTATCCCTCATGTGTTGGCACAAAGGCTGTTGACCTTAATGGGAAGGTGAATGAATGCAAATGTTTGTAATGATGGAGCATACAGTGTAAACAAAATAATGGGGAAGGACTTATTCCAGAAGAAATAGCTACAAGAGATTTATATTGAAAGGCAGATTGATTCTATACTTCAAAATGAGATAATACTGAAATATTTGACCATTTACAGTACATTATCAGGTTTACAATACACCTCCACCTCAAATGTTGATTTCAACATTTCCAATATTTTTTTGGAATTTCTCCTTTAAAATGGTTGACACCAACAGTTATCACTTAAAAATAGACCCTTAAACTTAAATTTCCTGTCAAGATGTATTGCCTTAATATTAATTTCCTTTCACATTTTTTCCCCCATAACCAAGAATAAAGCTAAAATGTTCTATCCAAGCTGGAAATCCACTATCGTTATCAGGAGAAACAATATACATTTTCAATTCAAACAGTGCAATTTAGCATTTTAAGTCATACCTTTCAGCAACAAACGTGTTAAAGGAGAAATGTTAAAAAAATATCGGAGAAATGTTTAAAGGGAAAGAGCCAAGTATCCTCTGCGTATTTCTACGCAGTATTTCTAGATTAGTCATCTACTGTTTCAGCAAGGAAAGAAAAATTGAACTATCGAGTTTATTTTTAATGGTTCAAAGTGGGAGCTGTCCGTCAGCCCTCCCTCCTCGCTGTGTGCTAAGCAGCTCCTCTCACTCCCTTTCACTGTGTCATCATGCAGGACGTGAAGCAGAAGGTGCCAGTCATGGAAGCCCAGTATAAAGCGGCTACCAGGAATGCTCAGCTGCTCACCAAGGACACTCCTGAGGAGGAGGCCAACCAGATGCTCGGAGCAATGGGAACGATCAAGGAGCAGCTAAGCAAGGTACCGGAGTCAGACCCCCACACAACTAGTGTGGCTGTAAGGGTGGGATCATAGAGTCCAGTGAGGCATGGTGTCACCTTCATTATTCATACTGACAAAGATCAGTGAATCTCAATAGGAAAAGTACTTGATAATATGGTACATTTGGAAAAATTACAGCTGCCCAATCCAACCTTAGTCTTGCTGCTATCTTTTTATTTCTGGGTACTTTTCCTTTGGCAGTTGAGATTTTTCCTCTCTTGTGTCTTCTCCTCTCCACCACTACCTTAGCTCTGGGATACTTCTATAAAGTTTTGTTCTTCAACATTACAGCTAATGCAGTTGAGATCTGATCCTTTATCATTTTAGATAAGTTAGTGGCATACCGCAGTGGTATCAGTTAACTTTTA